AAATTCCACTACCAACTATGTACATACATACATACATATGTAGTTCTTGCCATGCCACGAATAATCAACAACAATACAACCAAATAAGCAACGTCGCATTGCAGCAGCAAAACGCAGTCTGAGGTTCTACTAAGAATTGCTAAGTTGCTATGTTGTTGTTGTTGTTGTGGTTTAACAGTGTTTGCCTAGTTGCCTTTGCATGCCGCTTTGAAACCCGCCGTCGTCTTATTGCTTCTGTTTCACACCTCTTTTTTTCAGCTCGAGTTTATGTATTCTCGTATTTGGTTTCTATGGAGTGTCGTAGCTCAGTGTGGAGGTGTTGTATGTGTAATCATTCGTTCGTATTTGTGTACATATAAAGGTATCAATGGCTGTGCGAATTTGGTTCAAAGTCAATGTCGGCACCACTTAGCACTTTTACCGTATCTGACCTGACGTCTTCGCTTTTTATAGGTGCTAATTTGCGATTCATTTTCGGAATGTTTATTAGCAGACAGCTAAATTATTGTTAGTCCCCTTTCAGACACGTCAAGTCTTGAAAGCAATTTTTTTCGCATTCTCTTTTGTGTTTTCTATTTGCTTCCACACGCGTCAACTTTAATTGAATTCAAGTCCTTGGTTCTTTAAATGGGAAGCAACGAAAAGATCAAAAGAGACAAGAAAACTTGAAACGAATTGACGGTACGGATGTATCTGTACTCTTCCCCTCTCTTCTCACCTCCTTCGCCAACGAACGAGCAGAATTGAAAGCAAGACTTGACGTGTCTGAAAGGGGACTTAACGCGATCTCTCTACTGAATAAATAGCGGCGTAGCGCGCTCATAAATGGTATTAATAATTTTTGACGTACCCGCATAACAAAAACAAACTAGTGAGCTTCATTACATTGCGTCAATCACCGCAAGTGGGAAAAAAACGAGAAGCATATTCTCAATAGGAATATTTTTATAAAATCAAGACCATAACTCACGAATTTGTATTTATGATTTAACTTAACTCAAATTCGGAATGCATATCAGTTTGTTGTGTAGAGTCCGAGAAGAGGTTCGAGGATCAAAGTGGAGGCATACAAACCTTCACGAGATGACCGTTCTAACAAGTTGAGGTGAAAGATAGAACAGCCAATAACAAAACTTAATTGTTGGACATAAAGACGCAGTTTCGGAGCCCAGAATAACGATTCTTGTATAACCAGTAAACCTTATTGAATGTATCAAAATCTGAAGAGTTCGATTCAGATTTCTGCGGAACCACTTCTTCGAAGACTTGGACAGATCAATACCACTTTAGGGGCATGTAGAGATGAATCTTTGAAATGTTTTTCGCCTAAATACCGGTATGAATCTTCAAGTCTATCGAGTAAATAAAAGCTTACCCAATCACCGACGGAGCGCCCTTCCGTACCTGTCGAACGTATCAACATATGAAATTGCTGTTGATAGAAAGAGAGAGAAGCAACGACAACGTCGCCGTCATGCGGTGGAGGGTTTTCGTTAACACGAGACTTCCATAAGATAGATCGCGTAAATCCGACCGATTAACGCTAACCTTTAAATTTGTATATGAGAATTGAAGTCGGTTTAGTTTTTTTTGCTTGAAAGTTAATTGTTTTATTTTAAAATCTTTTACTTATCAGAGGTATGTATGTAGTAAAATAGGCGAAGCCCGTTTGCTAGCAACGTGGGGTATGGCATCATTCGTTGTTTCACTACCCTCTCCAATAATAAGTAATTAAATAAGAATAACAACGCATCGATATGACAACGATTAACATTCTCCTATTGTTAAAAAACTCGCGTTAATAACACATCATTATCTAAATATGTAGATTTTGTTGCATGTTGGCAAATTTTAATCAATTATCTGTGTAGGCAAGCAAAGCGGAAGCAAAAGGCAGGCCTGCCACAATCGTTACCAATTGCCGTGTAGCCTAAATGCAACTATTTTTTATTTTTTTTCTTAATTAGAACACAAACAGTTTAACACACGTACAATCTCACGTAGATTGAGTTTTCTTCTTGCACTCAGTGTTAAAAATTGAGTTAAGACCGCAAATAATTCTCACTCAATTTGAGTGCAAACTCAACGTTTATTAGCGCTTGCGCAGTGAGCATCGACTGCTTACATGTGCATTTCCTCATAACGGGCTGCTGTGCGGCGCGAGCTCGAGAGAAGCAACTCAATAAATTCCCTTATTTGAATGTGTGCCAAAATGTGTGAGTTTGAATTCTATTCAACTGCGAGCATCTTCTTGCGGCACAATTTCTCGCCTCGTTGGGGTCGTTGTTTACCTATAATTCCTTGCCCGCCACATGCCACCCCCAAGCGGATTGGTGGGCTGCGACAGTGCACTCGCATGCTTCTTCACTTACTCAGTCGTCGGTGGCCACCAATGAAGCAACTCACTCAAGCGGTCAGTGTCACCATGTGCGCGCTCCATTTCTGCAGACGCAATGCCGGTGACTGTTTGGGAAGTGGGAAATTTTTTCACTTGCTTAGCTCGAGGCTCATTTGCTGTGCTGCGAATTCAGTATAATTTTGCATTTCATGGCGTTGTGGCGCGTTTCCGGTAACTACTGAGCGGCATTTTCGTGACACCGAACGAATTGGGTGAAGTGGACTTTGGTGACCGACCGACATATGTACATACATACATACATACGCACGTATTACAAGCCGTATGAATTTGTGTGAATAAATTTCGGTTTGTTAAGTAAATTGCATCCGGCCAGAAATTCAGGCCGGTCATTAGATTCGTAAGATTAATTGCGAAAAGTCTTTCATTGCCATCTGTGGCTATTCTTCTGTTCTTTGCTGGCTGCCGTTTGGCGTTTATCTCACCTACAAATGTATTACTAGATATGTATACACACATGTGCATACATATATTTATGTATGGACGGGTGCATGTGTGTACATGTATTTAATGTGGCTGCTGTTATGCGTGGGTAAAATTGATTCACCCGCACACGTAACTACTTATTCGCAATCAAGTTTGTGTTGTAATTAATTTATTTACATTTCCGTTTCGCTACGAACTAACAATGCCAGTGGAATTCATAAAGTGAAGCATTGTGGCGGAAGAGGCAGCTGTGAAGACAATACACGAATACTTACGTAGATACATATACGTATATACATTTGCAGCTCTCACATAAAATCTTGATAACAATTGCTGCTGGCATTCCGGCTGGCGATTATTTGTGCGTGGAAAAGAAGCAAATTTTAACGATTGCAATAATTCCCATTATGTGACTTAAATTGTGCACTTATAAAGGCGAGTAATAAGGGCATTCAAATATTGCATGTATGTACACGTATGTTTACAAAGTGCAGATACAATAAGAAAATAACGAAGAAATATTAATTTGGTCTTTTATAAAATCAAGTGAAAATTAACTGTTGAAGTATTTAAAACCAAAACTGGTTGTTGTGAGATGCTTTAGTGAGCTTGCAGTAACTGGTGTGAATAATTGAAAGTAAGTCAGGCTTTAAAAAATATAGTTTGCCGGTAAGTAAGCTATCTATTTATAAACGTAATGACCAAACCAGATATTTAATTAAAATTTTCAGATGAAATATAATTTGGGTGTGCACACTTGCTTGGCTATAAGGTAATCTAGTTAAAAATTATTATTCTGTAGTGTATTTGATTTTCGTAAACTGAATAAAAATTATAGCCACATAACCGGATACATTTCGACAGGTTTATTATTAAATATATTTGATTATATAACCTAAGCATTGGAATGTATAGAAGTGAAAATGACAATAATTCTTACCTTAACAAGTTGTTCTGGGATTACCACACCGACAATACTTCCCACAAATAGGGATAGTATTTCAGTTAGGGATAGTATTTCAATTGTATGTAAGCATATTTGTAAAAAAGCTGCCAGCTTAGGGTCGCTAAGTTTCTAAGTTCCATGAAAGCCGCTAAGATAACGGGAGTTTTAGTGTTGGATTTGTGGACATTCATCGCCGCTGCTGTCGATTTTGACTGGAATATCTTAGATGTCGTTGTCGATTCCTTTAGTTTGTATTAAGTGAATATGCCTCGATTGAATACCTGAGTCGTCCCTAAGATTTCGCTGGGCCCATGGTTTAGCCTGTGTCCAAGCTCTCGCCATGTGTCTGTCTGCAGTGAGCTAAACCTCGCTTAAAACTTGCCGGCTTCTTCTTTTTTTGTGCGGACTAGGCTTTGGACTTCCATATTCGTTATTGCGTACCTTCTTCTTCTTTGGCCCTGTAACAGCCTAAGAGATTTTGGCCGAGTTCAACAAAGCACGCCAGTCGCTCCTCTTCTGTGCCAACTTACAATTAGATAATGAAATCATTCCCGTACTCCAGAAAATCGGCATTAGAGAGCGCATGCATTCCACAATTGGATCGTAAATGTCTTCTTCTTCATGCCCGGAATAGCCCGGACTTTTTCTCCGGGCAAAAATGGATAAAGTGTCAAAGTGCATATCAGCTGCTTTGTGTTTACATGTTGCCTACATTTACTTGGCGCTTTTAAGGAATAGTGAATGGCCTGTGGATGTATTTTCAATCTCTATACACTGAACCAAACATCCATCTCTGGATCAAAGAAAAACTTCCCGTACTTTAAGGTAGAAAATTCTTCCGAATGAGTAAAAAATTCTCCCGAATGCGTAATTTTTTTTTGGAATGTGTGAAAACGTACACGAAAATATGGAACCGTGGATGTAATCTATCATTTTGAAGAAATGCTGGGCATGAAAAGAGGATAAAACTCCTTTAGTGCTGTTTCATTCCCATTTTTATTCATTTTGATTGCTGGTTTTCTTCAATTAAGAGAAGTTTTTTTTTTGTGTATCATTAAAATCATATTTGTGAAACCAAAATTCAATTTCCAAGAGTTTTCATTTAAGTGGAAAACACAACAATAACAACGTTAATCAGCTGTTTCTCAAATTCTGGGCACGAAATGTGGTTTTTTGCATTCCCGTACTTCTGGATTATGTTCCATTTTTGAGAGCAAACTTTTCGCTTATTCTCTAATTACCGGATCCGGTCCGGATTGTTACGGAAAGAACGTAATGTTTGTGGGTGGGGTTGTTTGCTTTTTGCTGCCGTTAAAAAGCTCGACGAGGCTAGTCTTCTCAAGGGCCGCTTTACGCATTAACCCGGTATGCCAATATAAATAGAGAGTGAGGGGATTTGAAAAAGGATTCTCGATGAGATGGATGTGTAAGGCAATTTTGGATTAGAAGTCGCCTCTTGAATTAGTCGCCAAAGCGTCGGCAGATTTCTCCACGACGATGTCACTTGTACTCTAGGAATGCTAACCACAGACAGTGACAAAACACCTGCGAATCGACAGTGTGAGGTGTCGTCTGACTACAAGCCGGTTACCCGCATCGACGGTATGTGCAATACTATATTATCACACTAGAATATTTGAAAGTTCGACAATGTTATCTCTGTATATAATCTCACTAGTAGTAAAAAAATGCTTTGGGCCAAATTAAACATTAAGCTTTGATTAGGGTTTCCAGACGTACTGCTTTTGGGAGTAAACGTACTCCTTTTTATTGCAATATACTCCCTTGTACTCCCAAAAAAAAATATCAGGAAATGTACTCCTTTTTTAGTTTCGTTCTTTTTTTGTACTCCTTTTTCCAGATATTAATATTTTATCATAAAGAGGGTGTAAAATAATATCTGTTGCAGTTTTTTTTTTGTTTTGAAAAATAAAAGGGCCCTTTATAGATTTTGCGAAAAAGTAGTTTATTGTTAATTATCCACAGATTTTACTTCAATTTTATTAATTTGTTTTTAAATTTTAACCTTCATTTGGGTTTACCGGCGGTAAACACTTTGGGAGAAAAGTGCAAGTCTTCGTCGGTTACTTTATTACATATCTTCTGTAACCATAGGCTAATTTCCTCCATTTGGGTCCTTTATGCTCCGTCTTTTGTCCAACATACGGTCTCATACTCAGCAATCGAAAAGACTCGAAACTGGTGACTAGAAGGGCATTCATTCGACCAACCCTATACAGGTTCTTTTCTTTTTTTTATACAAAATCTAAGAAAAAATACACCTGAAAAAGAGGTTCGTGCCGCATGTACTTATCTCCCAAAGCTGGCAAATGCAAATCAGGATTAAAATTTTAAAACCAATTAATAAAATTTGAAGTAAAATACTTACAAAGTTTACAAAAAAACACAAAATCTATAAAAAACCCTTTTATTTTTCAAAAAATCTGTGCGACAGTTATTATTTTGCCCGCTGTACTTTGCTATGCATATTGTGGCAAACACCACTTAGTAAGCAAAGTTAAGTGTGATAGTGAAAAGGTGTAAGCATAGCCTTAGGGGCAGGACGCTCGGGTATAAAAATCAGAAAAATATTAAATTAATTATAAGGCTTAAATTAAAAAAATGGTCATACATTCAGGAAGAGGGAATTCTTTTGTAGTTTTTAGTTTTTTAGTTGGGGAAACTTTCCTATAAGGGTGGTCATTGAGAACCGAATTTTACGCAAAAATACTGTGGACGCAAGTGAAAATTGTGACTTTTGGCAATTATTCTAAGGGGTCCCGTAGGGGCCCTAGGTGGTCGGGAGTAAAATTTTTGTCAATGGCGGTTCATTTCCTCTCCAAAAAGGTCGGAAAAGGTGCCACGTCCACTCCCCCTTCGATCACCATCTCTTTAACAATCTTCCCTATTGGAAAGCCAACCCATATAGTTATTTATTTTTCACATTTATTGTTGCTTTGAAAAAGATTTCTAAGATATCTTTGTTTGTTTGTACCCCATTAATGGTAATTTGTAACAATAAATTGCACAAAAAATTAAAAAAAAAATTGTACTCCTTTTTTATGTCATGTACTGCTTTTTTTCTATCGAAAATATTAATGTACTCCTTTATCCGTTTCAAAATCTGGCAACCCTAACTTTGATTGTAAATATTTTTTACAAACATTCGAAACTAAGAGTAGAACTCCACAAGAACTTTCGGCGCTCAAGCTCCTGCCTGCAATACTTGTGGAGTTCTACTCTAAGGGCTATAGATTAGGACTCAAGGTGTTGGAATCAAAAACTTTGTTAAAATCAGATGTATAAATAGAATCGGTTCTTTTGCCGAGCCTTGCCGCACTTCTGATAGACATCTGACCGGTCATAGAAGTGCCAAAGAAGATTATAATTGAAGATTAGTTGTCAAAGGAAGACCCCAAAAACCTTCTATTCAGCAGTCGATCTTACATAATTCGTTATAATAATAACACCGACACATACAAGAAGTGGTGTGTGCTTTTAACCAGACCCACCTACCGACACGAATTTCGACCCGCTGAATCCAAATCTCAGGTCCTTTTGAATCGTTTCCTCTCAACATTTCGAGTAAATTGCAAAAATTGCGAATTTTTTGCCTCTTTTCCAATTTTCGCAATTTACTCAGATTCTGAACCAGCGGGTCGAAACACGTGTTGGTACGTGGGTCCGGTTAAAAGCACACACACCGCTTTTTTTCGTGTGCCGGTGTATCTAATAATAGATTGGCGCATACAATTGGTCGTATGAATAAAAACTAAGCAATTGGTTTTTCTTAAAATTTCCAACCTTTTATTTAATTAAATAATTCACACGGCCCAATTCGTTAGTGTAAGGCCGATCTTCCGCTCCGATTTGTGGGGTTGGCCTTGATGTTGTCACACAAAGCAGAGGGACCTACAGGTTTACGTCGACTCCGAACGGCGATTGTCTTTTTATGAGGAGCTGTTTTATGGCAGAAATACTTTCAGAGGTTTGCCATTGCCTGGCGGAAGCAACCGCTATCTATTAGAAAACAACTTTGTTGTTTTTTTTTTTATATTGGTCGGAAACTGGGCTGGAAGCCAGGCCCTACGGAATGGTAGCGCGCCCTAGTAACCACTATACCACAGTGGCTGCTATAATTCGTTATACCTGCCTAGAATTGTGTTGCGCATTTTCAATAATACTCACACTTCTTTGAGCAATCAAATCAACTGTTCTTATGTCATATTTTTTTTTACGTTGCACACTAGTCGCTGCGGTGAGCCAAGAAAAAAAAAAAATAAAGCTAGAAATTTGAATCTTTAATAATTGAAATAAGAGTAAGTTTTTTCAATGAAATTGCTTTTTTTTGTTTTTATGCCACAGTGTTTACAAATAGCTTCAAAAGAAAATCATATGCATACAAACATACATATCTGTGTTCGTATGGAAAAGTAGCTTATGTCGAAAGGCTGGCTTTAGTATAAATCGGCATTCGCAGCATACGATTGCGAATGACTTACGGGCGCTAAGCCGTTAAACAACTTTTAGCAAATAAACGTGCAAGAAATAGTTCCGGACTAGCAAGTCAATATTCTCTTAAAGTCTCATCAAAAAACTCCTTGTCGTTTAAAAAATAAAGGGAATGCCGCATTATACTAAAGCCGGCCTTTCGACATAAGCTACTTTTCCATACGAACACAGATATGTATGTACATAATTAATTTGTTATTGAAATGCGATCAGCTTTAAAGTGAAGTGTTATTCAAAAGAGCAAGAAAAAGCGCCGTAACAAATACTTATTGAAGGTCATGATTCAATAATACAAGGTTAGATAATTATTGACAGCCGCGTTTTGACACTCCCTTACAAAAGGTTGCATTTACGAAGGACAGAGAAAGGAGAAGAAAGCAATCCCTTGTTGCGAAAATGGTAGTAGATAAATACGCAAAGTAGGCAATTAGTAGTGAAATTCCTTTTGTAAATTCTAATGTATTTGCAGGAAATCTGGCATTTTAAACGAAATATTGAACGAAATATTAATATATCTACGTGAATTACGTAATTTATGTGCTATTTAGCTACATATATAAAAACTGCAAAAGGACTCAAAATTAAAATAAAACTACTATGAGATTTATGTAAACATCCAATTTGAAAAGAATTTATGTTTTCATCAGTTAAATGTGCTTAATATGCATATACAAATAAACAAATTGCACAAAAGCTTATACTTCGATTTCACAGCAAAGCTACACTTTTTCCAAGTAAATTTGCAAAGAAGCAACACCGTGCCACTGCTAAGGCAGCGGTGCGAGAGAGACAACTGTCAGTTTATCGAACCTTGTATTATTGAATCATGGTACAATAAAAACAGGTAGAAGCCAAATTGACATCAAACCTACAAAAGTCAAAGTTTTCGGGAGAGTAAAAATTAAAATGAGCGTGTGTAAGGAAAAATAAAAAAATTACATTTCGCTGGTTGACGTTTTTAAGTAAATTTGAAGTTTTGTATTTATTTATTTATTTTCTTTAGTTAAAATTTGTTAATTTGTATGTTCTTTTCTATTTTTTTATAATTGAAAGTTTATATTTATAGTACCTGTTTTAATTTTGTATAATATACAAATGTATGTATAAAGCGATATATGTACTAGGCATAACGTTGGGCAATCAATAAAACAACGGAACACAAATAATGATTGCGACATTCCCTGGAATGCATTTTCAATAAGTTTGGCTTTCTCCAACTCTGTCTTGAGTGCTGAGTTTTCACCCTCCAGATTTTCAATTATTGACTTCAGCAACAGAATTTCGAGTTTGTAGCTGGATTGTTCTAAGTCTCCACTAAACGACTTAAATTATAAATATTTCTATAAATATATCGCGTTTTAACAATGCTTACTCAGTTTGTGAAGCGCGATCATTTATTAAGCTTTCACAACTTGATTTATGAGTTGCAGTGTTGTTGGAAGGACTTTCCGGCATAAGGGTCATAGGAAGAGCACTTGGCATCAAACGTTCCTTTCCTGTACCTCCTGGTGCATTTATGAAATCTGCTGCTTTAAAATGCTTAACGCACAGCAAGGCATTTCGCTGCAGCTCTACCCCACAGCTGCTTTACCAACGCTCCTTACGCCGAGGGCATTGAGGCACGTTAAAAAAATTAGTGATGTCTGCATTATATTTAACACCACATAAAAAACAACGCTTCAGGTGCTGCATTTTTAACACATACACTAAGTATAAAACGCACAACACTACAAAAATGCAAATGTTAATTAAAATTTGTTTTTAACGAACATTCAAAAAAACAAACGACATGACATTTTAAGCGTAACGAAATATAGGAAATAAAATAAAATCAAGTTGAAGTTTAAAGGTTTGGTTCTCATGAGAGCAACGTCATTTTGGCTTCTACCTGTATTTATGTGCCTTGTTATTGAATCATGATTGAAGGTAATCAAAATGAATATTGAAAAGGATTTTATTTTTATTTCATTTAAATGTTCCTAATTTGGTTCAATGGATTTCTTATATGTACATAGGTATGTACATATAACAGAGCTGTAAAATGATTGAATCAATAGGATCTGCATTCACTCGACATTCTTTTCAAAATT